TATATTTAACCCTCATATGATTATATAGACATTGCCCATGGAATCTTCACCATCTCATTCTTCTGTTCTCACTTGAAAAGTAGCATTTGGTAGATGGTAGCCAGATTATTAATGTAGTAGGTTTAACATAGTAGTATAGAAATCAGGTAAGAGATGCACAAAGTTAAAATAATATTAGATTGAGGAAAATTGTTTAACTTAAACCATTAAATAACTTTTTTTTTTTTACATTTGCTGCTAGGTTAGGGTGCTTATGCAGCTATCTGTCATTTCCTGAAATTAACTTTCATTTGTTTTATGAACAAGACTGTCTATATAAGTTTACCCTAGAAATCCATAGGTATTTTGGGAAATTGAATTATAAGTGGCTAGACTAACCAAGTTTTATTTTTAGGTGAACTTAGATCGCTCTATAAATCTTAATAAAATCAATCACATATGGTAACTGGGGGAGGGGCTTCTTCTGTTTATTAGCCCAAGATATGATGAATTTATTTGTTTTTATTTTTTGAAATGTGGTCTTGCTCTGTTGCCCAGGCTGGAGTGCGGTGATACAACCACAGCTCACTGCAGCCTCGACCTCCCAGGTGCAGGCAATCCTCTCACCAGTCTCCCAAGTAGCTGGGACTATAGGCATGAACCATCATGCCCAGCTAATTTGTTAATTTTTGTAGAGATGGGGTTTCACTATGTTGCCAGGGCTGGCCTCAAACTCTTGGGCTCAAGCGATCCTCCCACCTTGGCCTCCCAAAATGCTGGGATTATGGGTGTGAGCCACCATGCCTGGCTAATATGATGAATTTCCTATCCACATAATTTGTTAAAGCAAAAAGAGGAATCTGGTTATTCTGTTATCCTGCTTTTTCTTGGGAATATTTATTTTCAAATGATTTGAGTCCTTCAACTCAACAGTCTCATAACCAGTAAAAGGAAATGGAGATTGGTGGGAGAAATTAAAACATAAAGGACAGGAATAGGGGAAATAAAGGAAGAAAAGGTCACAGACATAGAAGTGTGGAAGTTGAATTCAAATTAATTTTTAATTGAGTACCTACTATTGGCCCCTCAAAATGGCTGACAGTAGCACTAACTGTTTTAAGTTTAAATGAAGGAAAATCAAAACACACAGCATTTTTTATTTTTAAAACACCATTCTGAATCAACCATTTAAATAAAGTTTTGTTTTCCACTCACGTTTTCACATTATTCAGCATGTTAATTGGGTACCCACTATTACTAGCCACCTTACCAGGCACAGCAGATGACAGATGAACAAGGAGCAGTCTCATAGGAGCTTTATCACGTGTTCCTAGGCTGAAAAGGCCCTTCTTTGTACTTCTTGGTAGGTGTAGTACAGGAATGTAGAAGTCAGAAACCTACATTTAAACTCCAGTTCTAATATATATAGCTTCTGTGTGATTTAGGAAAAATAATCTCTCTGAACCTCAGTCAGTTTGGAAAATTAGTATGATACTTACCTCATAAAGCTGTGGAGATTAAAATTATGTATGCAGAGCAATTAGCACAGTATAGAGTGCACTAAATAAATGGATGCTGGGGTTATTGAGAGCCATAGGATGGATGGATCATGGGTTTCCAAATATGGGATGCAATTTCAAGTTCTTAACACCAAATTTAACACTACTTGCTGTAGTTTCCTGGCATTCGTCCTATCACCCCCAGTTTACTGCACCTCAGGTTATCAAGGATATGGGAGGGATTCTACAAGGATATGTTCCCCCAGAGCTTTTTGGCACCCTGCAATCCTAGAACTTGTTGATGCTAGGATGTCTGGAGAGCACTGGCCATTTATCACTGAGAAACATATGTTACAAAGGAGATGAGGGTAGTAAGTAAAGTTGAGGAACTGACCAAAACAGATTAATGGCAAAAAAAAGGAAAATATTTTAAATTTTAATTCATGATAAAAACCCAGTTAAAATTAGGTATACCAGATTTCTTTATTCTTAACCATTTGTGCACATACACTCAGATTTTTTTTCTTTTGGTAGTGATTTAGCTGTTAACAACAATGACACAAGTTTTATGTTTAATTTAAATATTACAATGGTTAAACTGGTTTTGGGGGAGATTTTCCAGGAATTTATTAAATATGGAAGTTTCTTAACTACTGACATACAGGAATGAGTATTGTTTAACTAAAGAAAAAGTTGCCAACCACCACCAACCTCTACATTTTAGAATATAAAAGATAATATCTCAATTATTTTTTCCTCTCCTCATCATTACTCACAAAATATCTCAATTATTTAGGCATATCCTTGGCCTGTTCATAAAATTGTTCCATTAGGCATTCTATAATTATAATCATATTATTTTTAATCCCTGCTCATCTCACCTATAATTTTCAATGTTTTTTATTCCATTTTTATATCCTGTTCATATATTTTTTAGCTACAGTAAAATGTAATTTTTCATGATTATTGAGACAGGGTCTCACTGTGTTGCCCAGGCTAGATGGAGTACAGTGGCATAATAGCTCACTGCAACCTCTGCCTCCCAAATTCAAGAGATTCTTCTGCCTTGGCCTCCCAAGTAGCTAGAATTATAGGCATGTGCCACCCACCTGGCTAATTTTTATATTTTTATTAGAGATGGGGTTTTGCCATGTTGGCCAGGCTGTTCTCGAATTCCTGAACTCGGGTGATCCACCCACCTTGGACTCCCAAAGTGCTGGATAACAGGCATGAGCCACGGTACCTGGCCTCTATTTTTCCTTTTAATTAGTGTCCTGACTGCCCTGGCAAACTGTCCTTTTTTTTTTTTCATTACTTGCCCCTCTGGAATCCTTCTAATTGAATTTTTGTCCATACTGAAACTGTTAATTACACATTAAACATTTGCCATATGCCATTTAACTTATGTGGGTCATTTCTGATTTTTTTTTTTTTTTCAGAGATGGAGTCTCACTCTGTCACCTAGGCTAGAGTGCAATGACATGATCATAGCTCACTGCTGCCTTGGACTCCTGGGCACTAGTGATCCTCCCACCTCAGCCTCCCAAGTAGCTGGGGACTAAAGGTGCATGCCACCATGCCCTGCTAATTAAAAAAAAAAAAAATTTTTTTTTGTAGAGCTAGGGTCTTATTACATTGCCCAGGCTGGTCTGGAATTCCTGGACTCAAGCAATCGTCCTGCCTCAGCCTCCCCAGCAGCTGGACTATATAGATGCACGCCACCACATCTAGCCTCTCTGAATATTTTTACCTTACAAATGTGGAGATGAAGACACATTTCTAAGTCCTAATCTACTGCTGCCTTGGTTGTACTTTATTAATTTCTGAGATTCTTAGTCCTGTTTACTAAGGAATCGTAGAACATGCAAGTTATATTGTACTGCAATTGGTGGCAAGCTTGCTAACCATTCCTCTGAGTTTTCTTACTGTTTAGAATAAAAGGGTCAAAGCAAAAGGGTCTCATAGTGTTCATGAGATAGAAAGAGAATTTGATTATGAGAAAATATTTGATTCCACTATATATCTGTGTCGATTTTCCTTTCATTTTAGATTTGGAGCCTAAGCACCTAAGTTACAAAGGCAGATCGGCAGCTTCCACAAAGTTGATTCATTATACTCACACCCAGGGAGGGCAAGAAACAACAGCAAGGAATGACAGACAGCTCTGCAGCTCTACCCCAGGAGAGGAAGGAGATATGAGGGAACTGGGTTGGAGAAAAGTGCTAGATATTTTTCATTTTCCCTAATTTAGAAAGCAAGTAGTCTTTAACTTTTTGCCCTGATAAGGAGAACTGTACATTCCACTTTCGAGAAGCCTGTGCTGCCCTGTAGCTAGTTCCAAAATAAAAAGGTATGTCCTGTGTAACATGAAACTCAGAAACAAACATCGAAGTATGGCTTTTTAAAACTATAAACATCTCAGTCATGTAAAATCAGAGAGTAATGTTTATATATTTGCTTGTTAGTACATGTCAAAACACTAAATTAAGGCCCATTCCTAATGGAATAGATAGTCCTTTCTTCAAAGTGGTAGTATTTAGAAAAAGCCATCTTCTTTTATGATGGGGAAAGCCATTGCAAGAAAAATTTTGATGAGTCACAAAAAAAGTGATCCCAAAGAAAATTATGTCCATTATTATGATACTATATACTGTAGTTTGGGAGCCTGGTTTATCTGATCTCTTTATACTACTCTCTGATGGTCTCTGGGTTACAGAACTTTTATCAGGTTCCTACCAGTAATAGACATAACACATTTCAAGTTGGATTTCATATTTAATTACTTGATACACTAGTGTAAGAGTAAGACTAATCACTTTTCCTGCTTTTGCTGTTAAATTTTTAAGAAAGTTTTTGTGTGTATTCTACCTCTGTCCCCTGACCACTTCCCATTATTTTAATTTTGCACTTGGTTCTTGTGCTGTTCCTAACCTTACTTAATACTTCAACATATCCCCCACAAATATGTGAGCTCACATTGTGCTCTAATGCTTTCAGTTAGATCTGTCCTAGCCAGTATGTCTCTCAGTTCTCTTGGCAACTTGTTCTTTTATGTAAATTGTATACAGAATATGATTTGCATATTATAAATATGTGAACAAAAAAAGCAATGCTATTAGTGTTCAGAATCACAAATTTATATTTTTTAAATTAATTAAAATTCTTTTCGTTATGAAAAGGGTATTATATTTCAAGTAATTCACATTAAAAGACATTCTATTATGGCCAGGCGTGGGGGCTCACACCTGTAATCCCAGCACTTTGGGAGGCCGAGGCGGGCGGATCACGCGGTCAAGAGATTGAGACCATCCTGACCAACATGGTGAAACCCCCGTCTCTACTAAAAGTACAAAAAATTAGCCGGGCGTGGTGGTGCGTGCCTGTAGTCTCAGCTACTCAGGAAGCGGAGACAGAATTGCTTGAAACAGGAAAACGGAAGTTGCAGTGAGCCGGGATCGCGCCACTGCACTCCAGCCTGGCGATAGAGCGAGACTCTGTCTCAAAAAAAAAAAAAAAAAGGCATTCTATTCAATAGATGTGTTTATTGGTGGGTCAGTTTTGCCAATGTTTTAATTTACATGTAATTATGTAGACCCTGTGTCAGCAACAACACTACTACTACTTTAACTGAAAAAATGTTAAACTGTCTCCATTTATATACTCTGTGATTATTTTATAATCCTCAAGTTTTATAGTCTTTTACAGAAAAAAATGATAATAATAAAGTATGGCGATAAACGGCAATTTGCCACAACGCATTTTCTCCAAATCTTAGGTAGTATAAAACACAAGACATTTTTTTGTGCACTCTACTTTTATAGAACAACCAGATTTATAATTTATCTTTTTATTAGATTTATCAATATACAGGAAGCTTTCTCAAATCTCAAAGTTCCAAAAGTATGTAATTTTAAAGGTGAAAAATCATTTTTTCCTTTAGTTGTCATATTCTTAGAAAGCTATTAAAGTCTATTTATATAAACAAAAATAATTGATAAACTAACACACTTTAGAAATCAGAATATTTTAAATTAAAATATTTTTAATGAATACAAGATATGTCTTCCTAATTAACTATCATAAATTTAATATCACAAAACAAAATGGCTTATCCCCACTAGTTTTTCAAGTGAGGTAAAGCCATTGGAATTTACACTTAATATAAGTTTTACATGTGATATTTAAATGATAGTATTTCATCAATTATAGGAAATATTAATTTATAAACATTTTCTCAGGTCCATCAAAGGCCAAGTTTGAGCCCACGTCAACCTTAAAGGCTAGATTCAGTGCACCTAACTTGTCTAATAAGCTTGTCAATTTAATATGAATTTCATTAATAAGGGGGAATAAAGAGTAGCTAATTCACTAAAAGTGAACGGGATAGTTTCAAATAATCAAAGAATTTTTAAAATTTAAACAGAAATGGCCAATGATTCTGGGTCTAAAATTTCACAATCTTTAAAAAAGAAAACCACATAGAAATAGTGAAGTCATCACCTTATTGATGAAAAACTAAAGTTTAATAGTCATTGAATGGGTAACAACCACTTGTAGTCTACATTTAAAAGTAATTTTAATCATAGCTAAGAAAAACTAAAAACAATTCTATTAAGAAACAACAAAAATGATAAACATTTAACACCTAAATGTAGATACTTAAAATCCTAAACAAAAATATTAAAGTTAAAAGGGCCTTGAAATTTGTTTCTAACAAATCATCTTATATAATCAATTCCTAAATAGCTCATATCCTTTGCTTTGGTGTTTTATCTGCTATCATCTAAACATTAGTACAGTAGAACATCACTTAGGTTCTTTTCAAATGCTTGGCATTATAATGTGATCTCATATCTTTCCTCAAATTAAATTTTGCTCCACATATTCCACATGTATACAGATGAACATCCATGTGCTGCTCCAACTGTTCATTATTTGGGAATATCTGAAAGCAGACCTGGCATATAGTCTCACCAGCAGATAAATGAGAAATCATATGCCGTACATGGTCATGTTTTCTGAAGTTTCCTTGATCACAAATGGAACAGACATACCTGGCCATGCCTTTGTGCATATCATTGTGCAGACGCAACTGACGTTCTCTTAAAAACTGCTTTCCACATGTTTGACAAACAAACTGTTTCTCCTTAGTATGAACAGTATAGTGTTCTCTTAAGTGACACCGCTGATAAAATCCTTTTCCACACAGATTACAAAAATGCTTTCGTCTGTGATCTCTTTCATTTTCTTCCATGATGGCACTCTTAAACATATCTTGATCTAAGCAGCTAGACATATGTTCCACCACTAGATTTTCAGTTTCAAAACGCTGGCCGCAATTAGGACATCGAAAAGGGCAGGCAGAATGTTTAAATAACTGCTTTTTTTGGATACTGTTTATCTGGTAATGATTGTCCCTAAAATCATCCAGCATTTCAACAAACATATCTCTTATTTCAGACTGCTCATCAGGATTCTCTTCCAAGTCCATTTTCTCCTCAGTATTTCCTAACCCATTCATGGTCAGATCTTGGGGCTCACCACATCGTTGAGCATGTTCCTGAAGCTGCCTACCCTTTACAAGTATTTGTCCACATTTACCACAGGCACAAATATTTTCAATGTGTTTGGCCAAGTAATGAGATGACAGGTCCTCCTCAGTTATTGTAAGTCCACACAGCTCACAAGATGCATTTTCAGTATCCTCTTGTACTGGACTGCTGTTGTTAGGGGGTCTCATATTCTCTAAACTACCTCTTTCATCAGCACTTATTGACATTCGAGGTTTTAGAGTTTTCCTACCACTTTTTTTTATGCTGACATCTTCTTCAACATAGTATCTATAAAATGGCTCTTCAGGTTCATCTTCTAATTCATCATTGTCAGTGGATTCATTACAGTCTTTATCAGTAACTTTAATAATGTTAAAGTCTTTCAGTTCATCTGTAGGAATATCTTCTGGCTCCATCTTGATAATAATCCTTTTCCTCTCAGCAGCTCTGCTTTTCTCTTCGTTGGCTATTTCAGACTCCACTGTGCTACTTTTTCTGCTTCCAGTGGTTGAAGTTGAATCATCAGCAGCCTGGCTTGTGTCTCCTCTGTATTTGTCCGTCTGTGCAGAAAACGTTTTAGAAGAATCTTTTTCACCAAATTCAGCTTTGATGTTACTGTCTTTTCCATCTCTAATATCTACTATTCTATGGTAAGATCTTGTGTTTTGGTATAAATGTCTGTTAGTACAGGTCAACACATGCTCATCTAATAATTTTTCACAGCTAAAGCCAAATCCACAACTATCACAGGTAAAACTCCGTCCAAAGCGTCTTGATACACGTTCTTTTGGAGTAGATAATTTGGACACGGAACTTTTTTTACATACATCAAATAGTGGCTCAGGAAAATTACCTAATTGTAAAGACTCTTCATCAGGCTCTCTACTATGTGGTGTATTTACTGTTGAACTTGGCTCTGCACACCACCTGTTGGCTTCATTGCCATTTCGAGCCACAGTATCTTCATACATTCTTACCCCAAATATCATTTTGCTGTTCTGTTTGCTGGAAGCAGAAGAGGAACATTTTGAACTAGAACAATCTGCATCCTGGATGTCTTCTAAGCAGTCAGGAACATTGTACAGCTGTAGGTAGTTCATTGCCACTTTAAACTGCTCAAAACTGGAGGGAGCTGTCATAATTTTGCCTAAATACATAAATTGCAAAATGAGATCAAAACATTCTGCACTAATTTTCATGTTGCTGAGATTCAGTTGTGCAGTACTATGCTGATGGTTCATGAAAAACATTCTAAAATAGGAGCTACAGGCAGCTAGAACTGCTTTGTGTGCTTGAAAGTAAATGTCATCAATTGCAATACAACAGTCACAGAGAAAACCCCATTCTCTTTGGTTGTTTAGCTGCTGAAGGACGTAGCTGCTGTGGCTGGGCTTTGCCATCTTCTATTAATTAGAGACCTATGTAAAACAAAAATATTAAAGTCAGAGAAGATGTAAAAAGCACTTGACAAAAATTTTATCTTTTGTGACTTGTGTGACTTTACTATTACAATCAAATATGAAGAGCTTTCCATTCTAATATAATAAAATTCAATAATATATACCTGAATCATTTTTTAAATTTGAAGATGAAGACACCCAGGCATTTATTTATTCAGGATTTTCATACTGAAATCATGCCTATAATCCCAGCACTTTGGGAGGCTGAGGCAGGCAGATCATGAGGTCAGGAGTTTCAGACCAGCCTGACAATCATGGTGAAACCCCATCTCTACTAAAAAGAAATTAGCCAGGCGTGGTGGCAGGTGCCTGTAATCCCAGCTACTCAGGAGGTTGAGGCAGGAGAATATCACTTGAACCCAGGAAGCGGAGGTGGCAGTGAGCCAAGACTGCGCCACTGCACTCCAGCCTGGGTGACAGAGCAATCAATCAATCAATTTGAACAGAAAAAAAAGACATTAATTTAAAAATACTTGAAGGAGGCCATGTGCAGTGGCTCAGGACTGTAATCCTAACACTTTGGGAGTTAGAATTACCAAAATAGCCAGCGAAGAGAAAAACTTTGCTTGAGCTCAAGAGTGTGAGACCAGCTTGGGCAACAGTGTGAGACCTTGTCTATACAAAAAAGTTTAAAAAATTAACCAGGTGTCGTGGCATCACATGTAGTCCCAGTTATTTGGGAGGCTGAAGGGGGAGGATCACTTCAGCCCAACAGGTAGAGGATGCAGTGAGCTGTGATTACACCACTGCACTCCAGTCTGGATGACAAAGCAAAAACCCCGTCTCAAAAAACAAAAAAAGAAAACAACTCTTGAAGGATATGAGTAATGAAAGTAAATAAAACAGCAACTTAAACTGAAAGCAATTAGATTGTAAAGTATTAAAAACTTATTAGATGGTTAATAATAAGGAACTATTGCTCATTGTTTAAATGTGAGAAAGGTAATTTGGTTGTGTTAAGAATTCTTATCTTTTGGATATATATACTTCAGTATTTACAGATGAAATGATATATCTGAGATATGCTTCCAAATAAATGGGGTAGGTGTGGGGAGCAATAGATGATACAAGATTGGCCATGTGTTGATAAAATAATCTATTTTAAAAACGCTATTAAGCCTGGGCAACACAGCAAGACCTCGCCTTAAAAAGCCAGGTATGATGAGGTACCTATAGTCCCAACTACTCAGGGGACTGATGCAGGACAATGGCTTGAGCCCAGGAGTTCGAAGTTGCGGTGAGCCATGATCATGCCACTATACTCCAGCTTGGGTAACAGAGCAAGACTCTGTCCCAAAAATAAAAACTAAAAAACCGCACTAGATTATATAGAAATGGCACTAAACAAACAAGTTTGATCAGTGCCTTTGTCTTAAATTATTGAAAAAGCAATAATTCTATAAAGTTAGAATGTGTCTCATATTGCTCAACATGAATTTCAGGGTATATAGAAGCAGTGGGTTTATTTCAGAAGGTATTTTATTTATCCTTAGAGTGTAAACTTTT